TGAGCCCATCTCAACCCTCCTGGCTCCATGTGGTTGCAGCTAACCAGTGAGAACATTGTTCAGGGACGGGCAAGTGACCAGCTCGCCAATGAACCTCAACTTGGATGACAGCAGAGAGAAATTCCTTTCCTCTGGGCTGCTGGACTGTCACCAAGGGAAGCCAACCCAGATGAAAGCAGAGCATGAGAGACATGGCGCCCAGATCATCAGTCCTGGGGTCAGGATCTGTGCTGGAATTTCATTCAGTTGTGTGGGCCTGTCAGTTCTGGCTTATGTCTAAAATCTGAACTATTAGGGTTTTGGTCACCCATGATCAAGACTCCAGACTAATTCAACAGGGTGAGAGGGAAGTGGGAAGTTGGAGAGGTCAGCAAGCGCCAGCTCAGGAAGCTGGTGGTAGGCCTGGGTATGGCACTGAAGATTTATGCAACTATAGGACTAGGGGGATTCTAACTTTCAGGCAGGGGAACTGTGATAACGTGACTGTGGCTTTTGGAAACAAGAGCTCTGCTGAGAGAGAGAGAGTGGGGTGGGGGAGAGAGAGAGAGGGTCACAGACTCTTTTAGAAAATTCAGAGCTGTTAAAACATCCTTTCTGGGGTTTTCCCATCAGGCTAGATGGCTGGGACTAGAGCCAGAGCAGAATTATTAATTCGTCAGCTCTGATGGCACATACCAATTTATCCTAATTTCTGAAAATACACTCACGCCTTTCAGATGAGTCTCTTTTCTCTGCCACTAAGAAGAGGGATCTGAGTGGAGATTTATCAGAGGGAATCTGGCCCTTCGTAAATGGCTGCTCTGGGCAAAACAGAATACCTGTGTCCCAGTGAGGAGCAGCCAGCAGATGAATGGGCTCGCCTGTTCTCAGCTCTGCGCACAGACATTCCACAGGGGCTGGGACTCAATGCACTGGCAGACGGGCTGCCACTGGCTCGGAGGACTTGGGTTCTCAATGCCAGGAGAGAGTGAGCCAAGGGGGAAGCATCTCCCTTCCAGACCCTGGGAGCCTTCTCATTACATCGCCTCATTTCCCCTGGACAGTGACGGATGTAACTGGAGCAAATGGAAACCCGGGCCAGCCTCCCGCCCCTCCCGGTTGAGACTTCCAGTGTGGCTTCATTACCAAGTCTTTTGTAAATAAACTGTGTGGAGGAAAATGCCATTTGTTCTGCCATAATTGCCTGATGAGCATCATTAGATGGGTCTTTGAAACACAGAGAATGAAATCATTTCGGGTTTAGAAATTCCTTTGTGCAAATCTTTCTCCATTCACTGTTCTCCACGGAGGGAGTTTCTCAAGGGGGACTTAGATCAAAGAGCAAGTTAGGAGTCCAGAGGCTGGGTGTGGCCAGGGACACACCCTCTCTTGGTATTCAATCAACAAACATTCACTAAGTGCAGGTAATCCTCTAGACACTTGAGACATAGCAATAAGACACAGAAAGATAACTATTGTACTGAAGTTGACATTCTAAGAACTCACTGCCTGGACATGTCCATTTCTGAGAACAAACTTGGAAGAATACATTATAAGTCAAGCTTGTTTAACTGGCACATTGGGGAACTACAAAACTAAAATTCTTCTGACTCCTTGTGTGTGAGTTCACTGTACCCAAAAGGATGTGACATTTGGAAAACTACACTGGGCTACGGATACTAAATAAATGAACTATGCGCCATCACTCACTAAACCAGCACCCATAGCAGACATCACTAACGAGTCACTGCTCTGTGATAAGCTTGATGCAACCTCAGGACATGTGTCCATACAGAACTGAGACAGCCCCTACCTCCCAAGCAATTAGTGTTGGTTGGGAGAGGAAACCTAAATGCTTTTTCTTTTTCTTTTTTTTTTTTTAAGATTTTATTTTACTTATTTGAAAGGCAGAGTTACAGAGAGAGAGGTAGAGAGAGAGAGAGAGAGAGGTCTTCCATCCGTTGGTTCACTCCCCAGATGGTCGCAATAGCCGGAGCTTCGCTGATCCGAAGCTAGGAGCCAGGAGCTTCTTCCGGGTCTCCCACGTGTGTGCAGGGGCCCAAGGACTTGGCCCATCCTCTACTGCTTTTCCAGGCCACAGCAGAGAGCTGGATCAGAAGAGGAGTAGCCGGGACTAGAACCAGCACCTGTATGGGATGCTGGCACTTCAGGCCAGGGTCTTAACCCGCTGTGCCACAGTGCCGGCCCCCAGATGCTTTTTCTGACTTAGAATGTTATTAACTGAAAGAGGTTGCAGAATATCTAAGTAAATTAGGAATAACCCCAGGAAGAGGCAAACACTGAGAAGAAAAGAGAGGGATTGCAGCCAACTTCTTAGGCTAGTTTTCCTCTGATGTCCCACAGGGGCCATAGAACACAGTGGGTCTGAGCATGGGCTCTGGAGTCAGGCTGAACGGGGTTCATGCGCTGGTTCATTCTGTAATTTACAGCCCTGGTCTCAAGTCCAACTCGTACCTGCCCTGTGAAATGGATCTAATGATGACACCACCTCCCAGGGTTGCTGTGAGGATTAAATAAGCCAACACTCGTGAAGCGATGGGCAGGGACTCTGTTCATGCTGATCGGGGTGGAAATTCAGTGGTTATGCACCAGGTGGATGAACAATTCCTGACAGCTGGCATCCACTCTGACTGGCTGGCACTTGTGCTATCACAGTTGTCAAATAGCTTGAATATTACCCCCTGATATTAGTAATTAGTTTTATTTGGGGGATAACTTCAGAAGTCTGGAGGTGTGTGCAGGGGCCCAAGGAGGGGTCCTCCTTGGGAGGTGTGTGCTTCCCCCTTGGCTCACTCTCTCCTGGCATTGAGAACCCAAGTCCTCCGAGCCAGTGGCAGCCTGTCTGCCAGTGCATTGAGTCCCAGCCCCTGTGGAATGTCTGTGCGCAGAGCTGAGGGGAACAGGCGAGCCCATTCATCTGCTGGCTGCTCCTCACTGGGACACAGGTATTCTGTTTCGCCCAGATACACACTGGTTTTCAAACCAAAGTAATGTTTTAGTAGAATTCTAGGTTGTACATTTTTTGCTCATCAAGAGTTTGTGTCCCCCAGTTCTGAACTGCTCAACCAGATAACGTATTAGAAATGACAGTAATCTTTAGAGTATTTATTAAGAAGGGTTATAAAGCACCTTGGTAGAATGTGTCATTAAACCCATTTTGCAGAAGCAGAACCTGAGGCTCAGTTCAGCAAGGTAAGGTTTCATTGTCCAAAATCACCTAGTGTAGGGTGGGGAACCTTTTTTCTGCCAAGGTATATGGATTTTTACAGCATCATTCACAGGCCATATAAAATTATCAACTTAAAAATTAAACTACTATAGATTTATTGAGTTTTGAGTCCTGCCCATGGTTGCCTTGGCAGGGCCAGACCAGATGATTTCATGGGCCTTATACAGCCCATGGTCTGGAGGATCTGCACCCCTAACATACAGGAAGTGACAGAGCTGGGATCTGACCTTGGCAGTCTGACCCCAGCAACAAAGTCTCAATCACTGCATTTGACAATGATTCTTTGCCTTGAAAGCTGATGCTCTATTCAGGGGGCATCAGGGTTGTACATCCACCAAGGTCAGCTCAGGGATGTGCTGGGTATCCCTCATGAACTGGGGATATGCTTTAGCCAGGGGTCCCTGGGGGCTCTGGCAGACCTCAAGGGCAGAGGACAAGTCACCCCTCCCCTCAGACAGCCCAAGCCTTCTTCACCTGAGATCAAGACAGAAGCCCACAAAGAGGAAGATGTAGCCTTAGAAGTTTGGGTGCTTAACTAGTTATTAGTTGACAACTCCTTTACCACCACTGCCAGAGAGCTTCTGTAGCCTTTGGGCTGGGCAAATGGGTTATATAGTAAATATTTATGTACTGCATCTCTAACAATTTCTACCTATTTATTTGCTGCTAGTCATGTTCCCAGGCTGTGTGTTAAGCACTTTTTAGACATTATTTGATCTCATCTTCCCAGGAGATCTGTGAGGTAGGTAGTACTACTATTCCTTTATCTCAGATGAGGAAACAAAGCTCAGAGGGGCTGGCACTGTGGCATAGCTGGTAAAGCTGCTGCCTGTGGCACCAGCATCCCACATGGTTCATGTCCCGGCTGCTGCATTTCTGTTCCAGCTCCCTGCTAATGCCCTGGGAAAAGCAGCATTAGATGGTCCAAGTGCTTGAGCCCCTACTACCCATGTGAGAGACCTGCAAGAAGCTCTTGGCTCCTGGCTGTGGCCTGGCCCAACCCCAGCTGTGGTGGCCATCTAAGGAATGAACCAGTAGATGGAAGATCTCTTTTTCTCTGTCTCTCACTCTCTGTCTGTAACACTGACTTTCAAATAAATAAACCACTCTTAAAAAAAAAAAAAGAAAGAAAAAAAAAAGAAAGAAAAAAAAAAGAAAGAAAGAAAAAAAAAAAAAAAAAAAAAGGAAGCTCAGAGACTTGTCCCAAGTCAGAGCGACACTGTGTAGTAGAGCTGCGGCTGGAATCCAGGCCCACCTGACCCCACACTGCAGCTTTCATGTCAGGGTCTGCAATGCTGGACTCTTGCAGTGATAGATTCAAGGGAGAGCCTGACGGGGCAGCCAGGAGCCACCGTGGCCAACTCACATCCTGTGAGGCCAGGTGGCTGTTATTAGGGCCCAGCATCCTTCTGGCCTGTGTGTACTGCAGGGCCTGCCTGGCTCCTGTCCCCTGATGCAGGTCTGCTGGCCATCTAGATCACAGGCACGCTATGCACGCTATATGCACTGGATGCGAGCCCTTTCTTATCCCAACATCATGAGAAGGGATGACAGGCAAATGTGAGTCACAGTGTGGCTAAGGCCAGGCTTTGACAGCCTGAGGGAAGCCCCCACCCCTCCCCAGGAGTGGCCTACCGGCCCTGGACTTCTTCACCTAGGGGCAGGATGGCTACAGACCCCGAGGCCCCCAGAGCCTTTCTAGACAGTGGCTAGACAGGCAGCATGCTGGGCCCAGGGCCACGAAGAAGGGGCTTCTGGAGAGCCAGCTCACCTTGAAGGAGATCTCATACTGCTCCCCTCCCCAGATCTCCAAGCCTGGGTCATATCCACCCAGCTCCCAGAACCACTTCCGGTCCACGGCGAACAGTCCACCGGCCATCACGGGAGACCTGTCAGAGAAGAAGGGGGTGGCGTGAGGGCGCAGACATGCTGGCATGTGCTCCTCTCTGATGACACAAAGCTGTGCCTACCAGGGACACCAAGGCCCCTTCCAAGGCAGGGGCCTGGGCTTTTATCTTCCCTTTGTAAATGCTATGTTTTAAACAAACAGATGCAAGACTCCCCTACATGATTAACAGCTAAGAATGCCTGAAGAGCACCCAGGGAACAGGAAGTCTGCCTGGCATTGAGCTAAGCCCCAGGGGATGCCTTGCTGCCTGCCAGAATCCCCTGGGCCGGCACAAGGCTGGTACCTGCCCGGGGCCAAGAGTTTGCTGTGTGAGAAACTACCAGAAAATGGTGGTGTCTTGATCTCCTGGACAACTCCAAACTCTCATTGCAAAACATTCCAGCAGCGCCCTCCTCTTCCCCTCCCACCTGGAACTGCAAGCTCATGGGGGAGTGGGTTGACAAGACTTTGTTACTGGCCTGCCAATAGCAAAAGAGCCTGCACAGTGAGAGGTCAATGTGCCAGTGCTATATGGAGCTCATTAATAACACAGACTTACTCCTGGGCTCAATCCCAGAGACAGACCTTGTTACGCATATAAAAGTGTTGTAGAACTGGGTAACTTGCTCAGGGCGCCAGAGCCACCAAGAGGCACTGCTGAAATCCGAGGATTTGAGCGCCATCTGCACCCCTTGCCACCACATCACTGCCTCGGTCATGAACCACAGAGAAGCAGGTAATGAGAGGAGAGGGGACCAGAACCTGGGGCACCTTTACTCTAGGGTCTGATCTCCTCAAAGGATTTAACATTGACCCTGTGCTGCCCACAACGGTAGCCAATGGCCACAGGTGACAAGTGGGCTCTGGGGATGTGGCTGGCCTGAGCTGAGATGTGCTATGGCTAGGGCACACACTGGATGTGAGGACTCACTCTGAAGAAACAATCATACAGGACATCATTAGTAATAGCAAAGTGTTGGTTACAGGCTAAAATAATGGTATCTTAGGTATACTGATTTAAATAAGATATATTAGGGCCGGCACCGCGGCTCACTAGGCTAATCCTCCGCCTTGCGGCGCCGGCACACCGGGTCCTAGTCCCGGTCGGGGCGCCGGATTCTGTTCCGGTTGCCCTTCTTCCAGGCCAGCTCTCTGCTGTGGCCAGGAGTGCAGTGGAGGATGGCCCAAGTGCTTGGGCCCTGCACCCCATGGGAGACCAGGAGAAGCACCTGGCTCCTGCCTGCAGATCAGCGCGGTGCACTGGCCGCAGCGCGCCAGCCGCAGCAGCCATTGGAGGGTGAATCAACGGCAAAGGAAGACCTTTCTCTCTGTCTCTCTCTCTCACTGTCCACTCTGCCTGTCAAAAATAAATAAATAAATAAATAAGATATATTAAAGTGAATTTTAATTTTTTTTTTTTTTTTATTTTTTGACAGGCAGAGTGGACAGTGAGAGAGAGAGACAGAGAGAGAAAGGTCTTCCTTTGCCGTTGGTTCACCCTCCAATGGGCCGCCGCTGCAGCCGGCGCACCGCGCTGATCCGATGGCAGGAGCCAGGAGCCAGGTGCTTTTCCTGGTCTCCCATGGGGTGCAGGGCCCAAGCACCTGGGCCATCCTCCACTGCACTCCCTGGCCATAGCAGAGAGCTGGCCTGGAAGAGGGGCAACCGGGACAGAATCCGGCGCCCCGACCGGGACTAGAACCCGGTGTGCCGGCGCCGCAAGGTGGAGGATTAGCCTATTGAGCCACGGCGCCGGCCCTAATTATTTTTTTCTTATGCAGTCACTAGATAATTCAATATTAAATGTGGCTCACATAATATTGGACTGTGCTGATTTAATCTCTTTGAGTCTGATTCCCCATCTACACAATGGAGGTAAGCTATACTTCCTAACTCATGTTGCTAGTGTATTTCTTTTTTCTTTATTTGAGAGGTGAATAGAGGACAGGGGGTGCTCCCATTTCCCCCCTCATTGCTGGTTCACTCCCCAAATGCCTGCAATAGCTGGGAATGGGCCAGAACCAGGAGCCAATAACCCAATCCGGGTCTTCCACACCAGTTGCAGGAACTCAACCATCTGTGTCATCACCCTTGCCTCCTGGGGTGTGTACTAGCAGGAAGCTGGAGTCAGAGCTGGAGCTGGGAATTTAACCCAAGTACTGTGATAGCGGTGTCTCAACCACTCAGCTAATGTCTGCTCCATGTTGCTAGTGTATTTCTAAAAAGATCCAGGATTTTAAGAAAATAAGGTACCATTAGTATCAGTACCCCTTCATCCTCTGAAGACTGTGGGGTTTTGGATTTTCTGGCTGAAGCCATACATGTACTGTGTGGAGAGAAAGGGCAGGGCATGTTTCTACTTGGTGCTTCATGGGGAATCAAATCCAAGCCTCCGCACAGGAAACTGGCCTGGGTTGAATCTGGTGGCAGGGCTAAGGGGCGGCTATGGAACGGGCAGGGCGTGAGAACTGCGGTACTTCGGATGTGCGAGGATTTGCCTCCTGAGGGAGGCCTTTCTTCCCAGCCTGCTCCGCTTGCTGCTGTGTTCAGCAACAATAATAACCACAATTCTGAGTTTGTTCTGTCTGCTGTTCGCTTTGCTGCCATTATCTCCGGCTCTCACAAAGCTCTATTACTGCCCCATTTTCGGATGGAAAAATTTGAAAATCAGAAATGCTATAAAATCTGTTCAAGGACATGCAGATAAGCTGCGATTCAAATCAGGGTCTGCCACCAAAATGTGTGTCTTTCAAACATCATTACACCATGCTGTGCCTGCAGATTGCCCATTTGCTGGGCGCCACGGGGAAGTGGGCAGGAAATGACCAGGGTTTCTCTGGTGGCCACTCCCTGGGTGCAAGTTCAATGCAGACGGGAGGTTTCTGGAGTGAATCAGTATACAAAGGAGGGAGAGTCCTGGGCCTGCGCCGGCCGCGGCAGCTATTGGAGGGGAACCAACGGCAAAGGAAGACCTTTCTCTCTGTCTCTCTCTCTCACTGTCCACTCTGCCTGTCAAAAAACAAAAACAAAACAAAGGAGGGAGAGTCCCTCAGAGGCACCTAGGCCCAGAGCCAAGGGTTGAGAGCCATCACTCTCTGGTGAGGCCAGCCCCTTCAACATCCAGATGATGAGACTGAGGCCCCAGGGACACTGCCTGGACATCTGCCACTGGTCAGCTACAGGGCCAGGACTTAGCCTTTCCTCTCGTGCAGGGAGGAGGATGAATGGGCCTAGATCAGGCCTTCCGAAGCTCTAAGTGAGTCTGCTTCTGGCAAAGGTCCCAACAACAAAGGAGGCTCTGATTATGTCTTTTTTTTTATAATTTTTATTTTTTTATTTATTTTTGACAGGCAGAGTGGATAGTGAGAGAGAGAGACAGAGAGAAAGGTCTTCCTTTGCCATTGGTTCACCCTCCAGTGGCCGCCGCGGCCAGCGCACCGCGCTGATCCGATGGCAGGAGCCAGGTACTTATCCTGGTGTCCCATGGGGTGCAGGGCCCAAGCACCTGGGCCATCCTCCACTGCACTCCCTGGCCACAGCAGAGAGCTGGCCTGGAAGAGGGGCACCGGGACAGAACCGGCGCCCCAACCGGGACTAGAACCCGGTGTGCCGGCGCCCCAAGGCGGAGGATTAGCCTAGTGAGCCGCGGCACTGGCCGTGATTATGTCTTGGTTACCTGGGCTCCTCTGTTTCTAGAGCAGCCTCTTCTGATCTCAGTTGCTGCTACTGCACCATGTTGAACTACTGGGTCTGTGCTGGTCAAATGGGGATGTCCTACCTATCCCTGAGGACATGTGGGTCAAAACTGCTTTGGCAGCTCAGGCAAGTATTAGCTACTGCTAGCAAATGTTCTCCAGGAATTCAGGTCAAGCAAGAATTGACTCCAGGGTACTGGAGGGTGGGGAAGATTGCATGGTATGGTCTTGGCCTTGGTTTTGATCAGAGTGTGAGTGACCATGTTTAAGATTAGGGAGGAAGGCGGCTCCTCCTGTAAGCAGCCTTAGGTGATCTGTGAAAACGGTTTGCTGCTCGCTTGACCCAGAAAACCCTACAACATCATGCAAATCAAGAGGCTCAAATCTTTGTGTTCACTTTAAGAACACCTGAGAAACTTCCCAGGCCATCAAGGGTATGCATATCCAAAAAGCCACCAAATACCTGAAAGATGTCACATTAAAGAAGCAATGTGTGCTGTGTTATTCGTCCAGTGGTGGAGTTGGTAGGTGTGCCCAGGTCAAGCAGTGGTCAGTGGTCCAAAAAGAGTGCAAAGTTTCTGTTATACATGCTTAAAAACGCAGACAGAAATGCTGAGCTGAAGGGATTGGATGCAGATTCTCTGGCCATTGGACACATCCAGGGGAACAGAGCCCCAGGATGCGCTGCCGTCCCTACAGAGCCCACGGCCACATTAATCCATGCATGAGCTCCCTGTGCCACATGGAGATGATCCTAACTGAAAAGGAACAAACTGCTCCTAAACCAGAAGAGGAGGTGGCACAGAAGAAAAAGATATCCCAGAAAAAACTAAAGAAGAAAAAACTTACGGCTCAAGAGTAAATTCAGTATAAAACAAATGCAAATTAAAATAAAGAAGCTACAGGAGGGCTGACCTGCTACAGAAGCACAGGGACTCTTTCCTGGCTTGCCCCACTCCACTGCCTGGCCACCTTTCATTGCCCCAGAGAAGCCCAGCTCTTGCTACTGCTGAGCCTTCCCTGGGACAGTGTTACAGGCTCCCCTTGGGAACCATGGTTCTGCACTGTATCCATGAAGATGGCTGAGCTACCAAAGGCTTTCTTCTTCAGAGCGGGAGGGTCAGGCACAGAGAAGGTGGGATTCATTAGGAGCCCAATGATAGGAGGCAGATGTGGCCTTGCCAAGATGCCATCGTCTGAATCCTTGGCACCTGTGGCTATGCTGCCTTCCCTGGCAAGAGGGACTTTGCAGATGGGACTGTGACTATCCTGATGCATCTATGTTGTTGCTTGTAGTCCCTGTAATCCCAGGGGGCTTATCTGTGAGACACGGAGGTGAAAGAGGCAAAGGAAACGTGATGGTGGCAGCAGAGGCATGAGAGAAACACAGAAAGCTCAAGATGCTATGCTGCTGGCTTTGAAGATGTAGGAGGTGGGCGTGAGTTAGGGAACGTGGGCATCTGCTAGGGGCTGGGCAAGGCAAGGCAAGAGACTCTTTCATAGGACCTCCAGAGGGAACACATCCTGTGGACACGTGCTCCCAGCCTACTAAGACTGACTCTAGACTTTTGACCTCTGGGACTTTAACAGCATAAAATTGTGTTGTTTGAAACCACTAAGTTGTGGTCGTTGGCCACAGAGCAGTCGCTGGAGAGACGGGGCCTTGGCTTTGTAGTCTCAGGTTTTGACGCCTCTGGCAGGAGAGCTAGAACAAGCTCATGTGACAGCTGCAGGGACACGAGCTTCTCTGAAGAAAAGACCCTTCCCAGGGCTTGCAGCTCCAGACAAGGGCTGCGTGCTATTTCTAACTTAGTGACTAACTCACCGGAATCCAGTCTTCCCTCTCCCGGGGCCTCCGTCTCCTGTGCAAGGGGTCGAGCCCTTCCTCCATCAGTTCCCTCCAGCCGCAACATTCTAGGATGCCATCAGTCCATTCCTGACTCCCTCAAACTTCCGTTGTGGGCCAAGCCACACTTTCCTTAACACTTCCAAGGCAGTGGAACAGAACGATGAGAAAGCTGGTGCCACAGGCAGACAGGCAACCTTTGTCACTTAACTGCTAGGCCCTCATTTGGAAAATGTGGATTAAAAACTGTCAATGCATGTGGTGGCTTGGGGGTTAAGTTCATCAGTGTTCAGCACTGGGCCAGACTTGGAGATAGCATGAGTGACTCTCCTCATGGCTGTTGGCCATTTGGGCAAACGGTGTAGAGGTGAAAGGTGGGGGTGACCAGCTCAGTGGTCTGTGAGCTGAAGCTCTGTGACAGATAGGGAGGGGTGGTGCTACTGGCTAGGGACATCTGACACTTGGCAGTGGGCAGGGCCAGGAAGCTGGACCCTTTACACAGGACTTTGGTGGGAGTGGTGATCCCGATCTATGTGTGGGTTGCAGTGGGGTCACTGATCAACCTCTGGGATGAGCCTGGGCCATTCATACTTACTCAAATGGGTCGCTGGGGTCAACCTTTTGCAGTTCTGGAGGGATCGGGATGCGCTTGTAGTACATCTCCCAGTCAAAGGCGCCCCGCATGGCGTCCCCAGCCTGTGTCTCATATCGAAAGTCATCATGGTCAATCACGTCGATCATCGGGCACACAATGGTCTTGCGGTTCCGAGCGATGCGGTCTGAAGCAGCCAAGAGATGCCTGTGAGTTGAGGCAGGACTGGGGAGCAGCTCAGTGTACGATTCTAATCTGAAGCTCACTGGCCTAGCCAACCCGTTCTTCGATGACGGCTCCAAACACGTGAGTTTTGAGAATTCACAGGGAGGAAGGGAAAGCACAGCTTTACTCCCATCCCAGTCCTGCCACCCGTGACAGGGTCCTGAGGCAGCTACACAACAGCATGTCCAAACCCCGGTGCTCTCCAGTGTAAGTGGGGTGGGAAAAGGCTTTGCCTCACAGGTATGATGTTTGAAAGTGCGTAGCAGGGCTGCAGCACACCATGGAGACAGACTGATTTCCTTCTAGGAGGACCCCTGTTCTGGCTCTGCCAGGCTCCCAGCAGCTGCACCCCAGCACTTGCTCCTTATGGCAGACTGTTGGCCCCTGATAGTTCACAGCATCCCTGGCTGCAGTCAGTGAGCAAATGGCTGGCTCATGAGAGAGTTCAGCTCAATTTTTCCAACTGACTGTGGAAAAGGGAATGGGCTGTGCCTGCAAGCTGCGAGTTTCCTACAATCACAGGTATGCAAGCAGAGCCTGGTGGACACCAGGCTGAATGATGCAAGACAGCAAATGAGGGCCTTGACCTAGATGGTGCTATGATCCCCGATCCATTCCAGGCCTGAGAGAAGTGGATTCCATACAAGTCATTCCTTGCCCAATCTGTGAACAGAATCCCTGCTTTGGTTTGTTCATGTTTCTCTCCTAAGAAGTCCTGACTGCAGTCAGAGGGTATCAGTCAGCTGTTGCAAAAATGAGGGGCAAGTGGACTGTACCAGGGTCCTGGCTGCTTTGTGCCAGGAGTCAAGGTCAGCACTTGGAATGGGAGTCTTGTCGGGCCAGGGTGGGTCAGCTGCTGCCTAGGGCTCAAGTTTCATCAAAGCTACAGTACATTTTTCTTCATGAGAATAAGCAGCAGTTTTGTATATTCTGCATGCAAGACACAATCTATAGGTGGACGGGGAAACAGTCATGTCTATTTGTGTTTGAAACAAAACAAAAGGGAACTCTGACAATCAGACTGCATTACAGGTGATAAGGGCGAATGGGACAGGAGATCCTATTCCAGGAAATGTGTTTCAGTGACACTGCAATGCATGTGTGCCTTTGTGCACTAAATTGAGATGGTAAAAAAAAAAAAAAGTTTAATAAGTGCAGTTTCCAGTAATGTATCACCAAGTGTGGCTTGGGGGCCAGCAGTGCCAGACACTGCCAAGGTAGGTTTAAAAACCGCCAAACCTGGCCGGTGCCGCGGCTCACTTGGCTAATCCTCCGCCTGTGGAGCTGGCACCCCGGGTTCTAGTCCTGGTTGGGGTGCCGGATTCTGTCCTGGTGGCTCCTCTTCCAGTCCAGCTCTCTGCTGTGGCCTGGGAGGGCAGTGGAGGATGGCCCAAGTGCTTGGGTCCTGCACCCGCATGGGAGACCGAGAGGAAGCACCTGGCTCCTGGCTTTGGGTCGGCGCAGAGCACCGGCCGTAGCGGCCATTTGTGGGGTGAACCAATGGAAAAAGGAAGACCTTTCTCTCTATCTCTCTCTCTCTCACTGTCTAACTCTGCCTGTCAAAACAAAAACAAAAAACAACAACAAAAAAACACCAAACCTGCCCTACCCCAAGAAGACAGGTCCTCTGGGGATTCTTTCTCTTATTTATTTATTTATTTGAAAACCGGAGTGAGTGCTCTCATTTTCTGGTTTACTCAACAAATGTTCGCACTGGCTGGAGATGAACCAGGTCAAAGCTGGAAGCAGGACACTCAATCCAGGTCTCACACATGGGTGGCAAGAATCTAGTTACTTGAGCCATTATTTGCTGCTTCTCTGGTAGCACATTAATTAGCAGACAGCTGGGCTCTGGAGAAGAACTGGGACTCAAACCCAAGCACTCTGATATGAGATGTAGGTATCATATCTGCTAAGCCAAATGTATGCCTCACCCATGGGGATTCTTGATGAGTTTAAGAGTCTTCTTGGAGCCAGCATTGTGGCATAGCAGGTAATGCTACCACCTGTGATGCCAGCATCCCATATGGGTGCTCGTTCGTGTCCTGGCTGCTCCACTTCCAATCCAGCTCCATGCTAATGGCCTGGGAAAGGCAGTGGAAGATGGCCCAAGTGGTTGGGCCCCTACACCCATGTAGGAGACAGGATAAAGCTCCTGCTTCAGCCTGGTCCAGTACTGGCCATTGCAGCCATTTGGGGAGCAAACCAGTGGATGGAAGACCTCTCTCTCTGTCTCTCCCACTCTGTCTAGCTCTGAAGGGCCTTCCTTCCCATTGTTCATGAACATTTGGCTGATTTTACATCCAAGGAGTGCTGGGGCTGAGGGCACAGTGCTTTGCTGGCTGCTGTTGGAGACTGGTGGCATGGAGTCAAGTAGAACCAGAGGGTACCTTGCTATGATGCCAACTTCACTTGAGGACAGAATGCACAGGTTCAAATCCTGGTTTGTCACTTATCAGCAGTATAACCTTATACTCTGAGCTTTGGTTTCCTCATGAAGAAAATCAAGCAAGAGGGGCAGGCACCACTTGGGAAGCCTGCATCTGATATTGGAGTCCCTGGGTTTAAGTCCCTGCTCAGCTTCCTACTGCTGCACACCCTTGGAGGTAGTAGGTGATGGTTCAAGTATTTGGGTCTCTGCCACCCACGTGGGGGGCCCAGAATGAGTTGTAGGCTCCTGACTTTGGCCTGGCCCAGCCCCAGCTGATTTGGGCATTTGGGGAATGAACCAATGGACAGAAGATCTCTCTGCCTTTTATAGATAAATAAGCAAAATAAATTTTTAAAAAATGAAAAGAAAATGGAGGCAGAGAGCACCTATGTCATGGGGTCTCTTTGAGGATTGCATAGGATAAAGGAGCTAAGATGCCTAGCACAGCCTCTGGCACGGGACCAGCCTGGACCAGGATTCTGCAAAGAGGCTCAGAAGCAGGATCTGAAAGGGTGAGCAGCAGCTCCTTAATTTTCTTTGCTTCTCATTTTTGTCATTTGCAAAATGTGGCTATCAGGGCTGGCCTGCCTGCTTTTTAACAGTCAAATTCCTATGTGGACCTGGCTTAAGATGTTAAGGGACCAGCAAAGCCATGTTGATGTGATGATGATGATGATGATAGAATGATGGCCAATACTGGGTGTTCTTTGGGGGGAAGTGTGAATCCTTCTCAGGCTCAGAAATGTCTCATCTCTAAAGGCAGAGGGAGCTGCAGATGGCGATGTTAATGGTTTCACAGACAAAAGCCACGATGTGCTCCATCAACTGCTGATATTAGCAGGGACAGACTTTGAAATCTATACCACTGTCACATTTCTGTTGGAAAAAGTAAAATAAGGGGGGGAGGATGTTTCTTCCATGCACGTCTGCATATTATGACAACTGCCCTCATGTATTTCCATAGAAACAGAGTTAAGGGCTATTTAAACTATAAGCTCAGCTTTGTGTCCTGCCACTTCATTCCTTTTATGAGTCACTGAATGACCCTACAAATGGGCTGTTCCTTCAGGACTATAAACTAGGCAATTTATGGTGGGACTTCTTCCTTTTTGTTTTTCTCTTTCAGTAATGAGAGACAGATGCAGAAGAACTCTTAGTTTAAATAAACAGTTTACCAGACAGTCTAATCCTTGCCTAACCCAGTGAGATCCTGGAATCTGGGGGTCAGAAACACATCATCTCATAACAACGTCTCATGTGGATCCAGGAGAAGAAGTAAGGGTGCTGGTGCTCCCCACAATAGAGGTCCACTCTAGACCTCCTGGATCAGAAACTCCAGGTGGGGCTCAGCACACTGCAAGATTTTCAGAGGTCTCTCATTATCTGTCCAAGTTTGCCCTAAACTGCAGTCCTCTTTGCTCCCTAAGCTCTCTGTGGGGTTCATGGTTGCTCGCTAGATTGGTAATTCTTCCCCCATCTGCCTCCAGCCTTGGCCCTGGCCCTGACCTGACTTCTAGTCTCAATGGAACATTTCCTGTCTGATGTCTGCCTGACAGCACCAGCTAACTGCCTTCATCAAAATGGCACTCCTCAGGATTCATGCCTGGTCTCTCACCAGCTGTGAGGCACCCAGGCCCAGCACCCAGCATTCCTGTTTCCCTCCATCCCCAAGGCTAGGGTGGGTGACTCCTGGGTCAGGCTGCCCTCTATTTACAGCCCTTCCCTGGCACCTGACAGCCACTCTTGTCTAAGAGGAAATGAATTTGGGAGGCATGTGGAATTGTGACAGACAGTAGACTTTTTGGGCCACACAGATGGTGACTTTGAAGCTTAAGGCCCAAGGGGACAAGTGAGTCACTCAATATCTGACTCCAGTTTCTTTTACTATGAAAAGGGGATCCTTTCAATCTTGCATGCCTTGGTGAGGCCTGGTGTGGTTCAGAGGAGCAGTGCAATCAGCAGTCACTACTCCAGGTCGACACGATGACGCCCTCTGCATTGTCTCCTGGCAGCAGATGGCTCTGGTTTGCTCTCCAGCAAGACTTTAAGTCATCAGAGGGAGGCAGTCATGAAACTAGATACTATGGTGCTGTGGCGACTGTGCCCAAGTCTCTTCCCCTCTCTGTGTTTCCTTGTTTGGGAAGTGAAGAGGCAGGACTGACTCCACGTCTAAGGTCTCTGTGAACATTTCGGAACCTCTGGATCCCACCCGTGCCCCATGGCATCTGCTGCTCTGTGGCGTGCTCTCAAGCACACAGGGGGAAGGCTTGTAGACTCCCCAACAAAGCCCAGGGCCAATGGCACAGTTGGCTGATTCCAAGCCACCTCCCTCAGAACAGGAGGAGCTCCCTTACCAAGCAAGGGGGGCAGCCAGTTGACGTTAGCCTCACAGTGTGAGTCCAAGAATGTGATGACATCTCCAATTGCCACTGAGGCCCCCAACATCCGGGTCCTTATCAGCCCCTCCCGTTTCTTGGTTCGGAGAATCCTCACGCTAGGGAAAAGGGCCATGTAGTCTTCAAGTGGCTTCTTCAGGTGCTCTGTGAGGGAGACAGAAGAGGGGAGATGGGTAAGAATAGCTACTTAGTACTCACGCTTGTAGTCCCTCCTTCCTGTGCGCACCACACTCGACAGTGTGGGCAGCTTTCTAACCCACTGCTTCACTGGACCTTTCAGATAGGGTCAAGAAGGGCAGAGCTCATCACCTCGTGCTACAGACGGGGAAACTGAGGCTAGAGGAGGTGCAGCAGTAATGCCAGACCTGGAGCAGATAGGTCTCCTGCAGCAGGGTGTGGGCACCTGGGATTTATGCCTGGCTGGACTCATTTCTTCATTTTCTGGTTACAACACTTTGCTTTTGACTTGGGAAACTGCCCCTCCCCTTCTAAGCCCAGCAGACTAGGGTAGGGGCTGACACTATAGCCTGGTTCCAAGGAGGCATGGCTTATGGCTCAGGCCAGACCAATCAGGGCATTCTATTCCCTTGGCCAGTGACTGGCTCTGGGATGGCCAAGTGACCCAAGGCATTCCAAACAGAATTCAGAGAATGTGTTCCAGAATAATTGAAAAGTGAAGCTCCTTCTTTTTGCTAGGTGGCTAAGTTGGTTATGGCCTTAAGCCTACTGCTGTTTACATCTTTGGCAAAAAGTAGTGAGAGGTGGTGGGGGAATGTGCGGAGACTGAAATCAACAGGTGAAAACGGGAGTCATGAAATGGACAGACTGTCCTGGTGACACTGCATTTTCCGAGACCCTCCTGGCCCGCAGTACACCGGCCCCTAGATGCTTTTTCCCACCACGGTTTCCTCTTTGTTTGTTCTATTGTGGCTGGGTTTCTGCCACAGGCCTGGACATGTTGAGAAGAAATATCAAAGGTCATCTCTTTCTACTGAAAGTCCCAGGCTTAACCTTGGTGCTTCTTGATTTTAGTCAGTTAGGGTCCTGTATGAAAACTCTAGGATGGCTACAAGCAGACTTATAGTTTAGGGTGGGCTTTGTGGCTCAGAAGGTTAAGCTGATGCTGATCTGAGTTCCAGCTACTCTGTTTCTGATCCAGCTTCCTGCTAATGCACCTGGGAAGGTAGTAGATGATGGTCTAAGTACTTGGGACATTGCCACCCACATGGGCGACTGGATGAAATTTTGGGTTCCTGGCTTCAGCCGGTCCTAGCTCAGCCTATTGAGGGCATTTGGGAGCATATCAGTGCACAAACAATCTCTCTGTCATTCTGCTCTTCAAATAAATAAGTGCATCTTTTTAAATACACACACACAAACACACACACATATAGCCTATATCATACTTAATGATGGCTGAATACTTTCCTCCTATGATCAGGAAGAAGACTGTGGGCACTAATAACTCTCATTTACCATCATACTAGAATTCCTAGCTGGTGCAACTGAGTAACAAAAAAAAATCAGAAATAAAAGGCATAAGTATTTGATAGCAAAAGGTGACCATGTCTGAACTGTAGATGACATTATCGTTTACATAGAAAACCCTAAAAAAAGCTAGAAAATCTATAAAGAAACTAGAACAAACAGACAAACTTAGCAAGGTTTCAGGATTAAGATCAATACTGAAAAAATAAATTGTATTTCTATGTACCAGAAAATAAGGAACTAGAAAACAACTGACAATTAAAAAAATTTACAATTTCAAGAAAGTAAAATGTGTACTCAGAAGATACACAATATTGTCAAAAAGGGAGTGCAGTGGAGGATGGCCCAAGTGCTTGGGCCCTGCACCCCAAGGGAGACCAGGAGAAGCACCTGGCTCCTGCCATCGGATCAGCGCGATGCGCCAGCCACAGTGCGCTGGCCGTGGCAGCCATTGGAGGGTGAACCAACGGCAAAGAAAGACCTTTCTCTCTGTCCTCTCTGCCTGTGAGATAAAAAAAAAAAAAAAAAAAAAAAAAAAAAAACGAAAAGAAACTAAAGACCAACATAAATGGAAAGATCTTGCTTGTTCATGGATCAGATATTAAGGTGGCAATTCACACCCTCCCACCAAATTGATATACAGATTGAATTCTATAAAAAAACATGGTTGACTTCCTTGCAGAGATGGGCAACTGACAAGCTGATCCTAAAAACATATAACAAAATGCAAAGGATTAAGAAAAGCCAAAACAATCTTACAGAAAAACAAAAGTTAACAGACTCAAATATCTTGATTTAAACTTACAACAAAGATAAAGTAATTAACACAGTGTGATCTCAGCATAAGAACAGGCATACAGATCAATGGGATAAAATGAGAGTCCAGAAATAAACACTCATATTTACTAACAATTGATTTTCAACAAGGGCCTAAGACCATTCAGTGGGAAGAATTATGTTTTCAATAAATGATGCTAGTACAGTTATATTTCTACATGGAAAAGCATAAAGTTGGATCCTTTATTTATCTCATACACAATTAACTCAGGATAGATGTATACACAAGAGTCAAAACTATAAAACTCTTAGAAAAAACATAGGTATAAATTTTTGTGGTCTTGGAATAGGAAATAGTTTATTAAAACATATGCAAAAAAGAAAAGATAAACATGGATACTGCAAATATTCAAAACTTATCCATCAAACGACATGATTAAGAAAGTAAACAATCCACAGAATGGAAGAAAATATTTGCAAACTATGTATACTGTAAGGGACACTTGTATTTAGAATATATAAAGAATTACTACAAGTCAATAATAAAAAGAAACAGATTTTTAAAAGTGGGCAAAATACTTTGAAATACAGCTTGGTGGTTCCTCAGAAAGTTAAACACAAATTCAGCATATGACTCAACAATTCCGTTCCTAAATATACATCCCAAAGAACTGAAAACAGCTATTCAGAGAACTAGTTACACACGAATGCTCACAGGAATACTATTCACAATTGCTGAAATGCAGAAATAACCCAAATTCCCATCACCTGATGGACGGATAAACAAAGACAGCTTATTTCTCAATCACAAAAAAGAACAAAGTACTGACATGTGCTACAACATGGATGAGCCTCAGAAATATTATGCTCAGTATAAGAAGAAACAAAAAAGGTCTCATGTTGAGTGATTTCATTTTTATGAAATTCCAAATAGGTAAATCCTCAGAAAGGCAAATGAATTCATGGTTACCAGGGGCTGAGGTTGGGAGAATGGGGAGTGACTGCTTAGGGTATATGGTGTTTCCTTATGGAGTGATGAAAATATTTTGGAACCAGACAGAGTACTTGCATACTTTAAGGCAGCTGATTTAATACTGTGAATATTTTCCCTCAATTTAAAATGAGCACACAGGATGTGAATAGATACACAAATAGCCAATAACCACATGAAAGGTTGCCTGACAACATGAGTCATTAGAAACATGCAAATGAAAACCAAAATGAAATACTACTGCACACCCATGACGGTGCCTACAGTAAAAAGTCAGATAATAAAAAGCGTTGATTAAGGATGTAGAGAAATCAGAACCCTATGTACTGCTGAAGGAAATACAAAGTGACATACACACTCTGGAAAAAATCCAGCAATTCCTCATACTATAAAACAGAGTCACTGTATGATCTAGCAATTCTACTCTACATATATGTAAGAGAAATGAAAACATACACCCACACACAATTTTGTACACTAATGTTAGTAGTAGCAATAGTTACAAAAGCCCCAAACAGGGAATATCCAAATGTCCACTCACTGATGAACGAATAAACAAAATGTGGTATATCCATACACTATGCAGCAATAAAAAAGAGTGAGCTACTGGAACACTACAGATGAAAATCAAAAATACTATGCCAGGTTAAAAATGCCAGACATACAAGATTAGACGTTACATGATTCTATTTATATGACATTTCCAGAAAGCAAATTAAACAGACAGAAAGGAAATCAATGGCTACATGGACCTGGACAGGGAGAGGAGCCTGACTGCAAAGGGGCATTAGGGAGCTTTGTGGACAAATGGCCAGGTTCTGAAGCTGGATTATGATACAGTTTCACAACCGTTTATATTTACATTAAAACACACTGAGCTTCAAACTAAAAATGGATGATTTTTATGTAAATTGCACCTTAATAAAGCCATTAAGTTCTAAAAACAACTCAATGTATTTCATAGTAAAAAAGAAATTGTAAATCCAAATAAAAAATACCACACAGAATAGCCTCATTTATATACAAATACAAATAAATGGAGTTAGAGACTAGAAGCCTCCGTATTGTTAACAACCAATTCTTGTTCAAATTATTCTGCAGATTCAATACAGTCTCAACAAAATCACAGCAGACTGAAGCTGACAACTTGCTATTAAAATTTACATGGAAATGCAAATTCCCTGAACAGTTAAAAGAATTCCATAAAAGAGGAACAAAGTTGAAGGACTTACATTTATTTCAAAACATATTAAGGCACTAAAACAGTCAAAACAGTGTGGTACTGCCCACATCCTCACAGAGGTCAATAGAACAGAACAGAGGTCAGAGAACCACAAAGATGAGGGACTTCAGAAAGTCTGTGGAAATGGAATTACAAGTAAGTTTATTTAAAGTTTTGTTTATTTATTTATTTGAAAGGCAGAGAGAGACAGTAAGAGAGAGGGTGAGAGAGAGTGAGCTCACATTGAATGGTTTGCTTCCCAAATGCTCACACAGCTGGGACTGGGCCAGGCCAAAGTCAGAAGCCAGGAACTCAACTCAGGTCTCCCACGTGGTTGACAGGAACCCAGTTAACTGAGCCATTACCTGCTGCCTCGTAGGGTGTACATTAGCAGGAAGCTGGAATCAGAATCAAAGCTGGGACTCAAATCCAGACACTCTGGTATGGGATATGAGTGTCCCAGTGGTGGCTATACCACTGCTATACCAAATGCCTGCCCCAAGTCAAGTTTATTTTAGTGTCCCCCCCCCCCAAATTAAAATCCATGCATTAAAATATACATTTTTTTTAGAGAGAGAGAGGTGTTTTTTTTTTTTTTTTTGGACAGGCAGAGTTAGACAGTGAGAGAGAGTTATAGACAGTGAGAGAGAGACAGAGAAAAAGGTC